GTCCAAACTTGGTGGATGATTCGCCTTGAATACATCTTTGACCATATTATGGCGGGGTGGGATTCAACATAAGGTTTGCAGTTGTTGTGGCTGTATCAATGTAGTTCCTAATTTATCTAAGCGTTTTGTACGCGTCAACCTTGAATACACATGGCCTGGTTCTTTGCGGATTCATCACTGGAATTCCTGAGCTCATTAACTTTGTGAAATTCGAATTTGTTTGAGTTCAAAGGATTGACCGTATAGAGGATGGAATTATGCAAGAGCAAAAAAGACAATCATTGGCCTCAAAGATCAAGTCCGTTAAATTGTGAATGCCCAGTTCTTCATCCAGGCTTGAGCCTACTTACTGAAAAGTAGTTCTTCTTGAAACCCAACACTCACACGACTGCTAAGACCTACTTGTCAGCCCATTACCGGTGTTACCCTTCTTGGAGCTCATCAGGCAGGCGTAGTCATAAAGTATTCCCTCGTGGTCCGCTTGAACGTCGAATTAGACTCAGGTGGCAAGCTACACTGATTTAAAAATTGCCCTGGCATTAACGGGAGATACAGCGAAATCTCCAGGGTGTGATATAAACTGCATCAACAGAGTATACCCCGGTAGCTTGAATATCGTTTCAACTGAACTTGAAACGGCCTTCGTATAGCGCATTCAGTTGAATAAGTTCGTAAACGAGAGCTTCAGTTGAGTTCTCTGGTAATATCGAATGAGTGCACTTCTCTACTTCGTCTCCCATTTTGTGGGACGGGTTATAGGAACCTACAGATTTATGTATTATTGTCACCAGAATGTACTTTGCTGTGAAAGTTAGGACAGCATTGCTTCGAAAATATATGGGATCAGACACCACGCTGACATCCCTGAAGAAGACGCCTTCGAAAACCTACAGCTGTCTAGTCCTACGCGTTTGGGATGTATGACGCAGGTCGATGTGTAATCCAAGTGCCTTTGATCGAGACCATCTGCCTACTTTCAGAAGCTTACGAAGCTAACACTATATCCGATCAGCCGCCGGAATCCGACAACGCATTGTGACAGCTGTGGAGAGTAGACCCCACCGATGTCGAAGGGCTAACACAAGACCATCCTAGGTATTGACCAGAGATGAATTGCTTCTTGAAACACTGAGCCCATGATGTGTCATTACTCACATGATTGTCGCGCCTTCCTCGGTTATATCTAGAATGCTCTAAGGCTTCAGCCTCCGTTGCAAGCGAATGCTCGGTCTTTTTTTTCAAAGAAAATCGTTGTATTGAACATGCAACGAGTGCTATTAGATCGTATGTTTAGAGCACGCAGGACAAAAAAACAGGTTTTGTTACATTTGTATTTCTGTTTTTCTCGCAGTCCAACCGAAAATTTTGTGTATCTAAAAAGTTACTTCCAGTTGCCAAGAAATTTCGAATTTAGTCCTCAATATGCTGAAAATTAAGTGTCCTTGACCCGACATACACAAGAGAAAGAAGAACTGCCTAAAAAACCGAGAAAATATCCACGATTTTAACGTCACATCGGAATGAAATCGTCGGCTTAGATTAAAGAGAGACGGGCTGAAATAACATCTTGAAGTTCATAGTATACTGGGGAAGAGCAGTCAACAGATAGGTGACTGCGTCCCAGATTGATACTGTAAAGCAATTCCTTTGAAACTCGTTTCCATCCGGTGAATAATATGGAAAAGTCTTGGCGTGTGAAGTGTAATTTCATTTTAAACCTATGGTTTGGCATATCAGATGGAATACTGGAAACCTGGAACCTTAAGATTACCACTAGAGCATCTCTCTCCGGTCCGAGAAGATGTACTCGCACAACAAGATGCCGTTATTAACAGTAAGTAATCATTTCCACTTTCCAGACAACAGCATCTAAGCCACAAAATGTGCCAGACCCAGTTGTTTCCCGCAGCACACAGAATTCCATCAATGCGTTGATACAATAAAATTTGTATCGTATTTTAAGTATCGCAAACCGCAAAGCCTCCGTAGTTTTTTCTACAGTACAGTTGCTATCACACAACAAGAAAGTGTAAGTGCGCATAAGTGAAGCAAATGCCAAATGAGTAAACGTCTAATCGATCCACCCTAACTTCAGTTGCACAAACTAACAAAATAACGTAGAATCCAGGAGGGTTTCTCTATGCATCCATCTGCCCTGTCATTGGTGATAATGCGCAGATTTCACAAAGACCGGGGCCATATTGGCAAAACTGCATATAGCCTTCATCACCATAATGAACAATGTACACTTGGTAAGTAGGGTAATTTTAGCATCAATAACATTGTGTTGAGCGCAGAAACCCAGTGATTGGAAATAACATATGGGGTAGTCCTTTCAACCGTTAATTTAGGCTTTGCAAATTCTTTTAGTAGAAAAACAAACTCATAACGGCCCCGGGAATCTTCACCCACAAAGCACATACGGTCATATGTGGAATGCACATGTGCTCCATATTGACCTGCTTATGCCCTTCCGATTGCGGTTAAACTCTTGGACACCAATGCATGGTTGTAAGTAATGAGGCTGTGTAATCAATACCACTGCGTCAGATCTTGTTTTTTGCTTTGAATCAGGTTAAAATGTGAGTGTATTTCCGATAGAAAGGAGCAAAACCTAGAATTTCCATACAACTGGGACTTGGAAAACAAATCAGGCTTATTCACTCATTACTATGAGGCAATAAAGTCAGCAACTGTGTGAGCTGTGTCCGTTCCAAATACTCAACCCTATTTCAGTTGCATACTGGACTATTTTGACGTAGAACATGACACATTTTGCACGGAAAACGAAGGTGGGGATCTGAGTGTAGAGGTCTGGATGGACATTTTGGCTTTGGTGATGCTGGGCGAAATACTGTCGAACGCAAAACACATTCACTGGACACTTGTGTCATTTGCGGTATGCAACTATGGTAACCAATGCCGATAGCACGGCAGATGCAACAAAGGTGAACAAACGCAGTCAAAACAGTCAAAAAATGACGGCGTTCATAGTACTACCCAACTTCATGTACAAGTGATCAATACACTAGACAGATGACTCGGTTACGTTCTGAACACACTGGTAAGGCTAAGCACATCCACCAAGGCTGTTACTGGACTGGGACTTCCTAAGGTCACAGTCAGTGACTTGTGTTTGCTTGTCATTGTGGGCTCTCTGTGTACTTATGACACTCTTATTTGTGGCACATGGCGCTGAGTGTACATCTTTGCCATTTAATCTCGCACCAGACCCAGTATGACGGACACTTTGTGCCTGATGTGGGAGTCGTGATTGTGCTAGCACTTGGTGCGCCTTGAAGAGCATTCAACATTGTTTGTCCTTTCTTCGGTTTTTGGTCTTTAGACGCGTGTTTCCATACCAAAATTCTTTACATACTCTGGGATTCATCTCATCTGACTGGCATGAATTCGAATGAAACATTTCTCCCTCTTATCTCATATTGTCCTGTTACCCTTTCGCACCAGGGGAGGCCTAATTCTAACGTACAATATACTGAAGACACCTAATCATCCGCTGGAAAATCTTTTTGTCCGACGTCGACCACGAACGGGCAGGAGGCATGACTTTTCGCTCGCGGTAACTCACTCGAGGGTGAACTGTCGACGGAACTATTTTGCGGTCCGTGTATGTTTCATTTGGAACTCCCTACCTCCCAATGTTGTACATTCGCCGAGTTTAACCATTTTCAAGAACAATTTAGATGCATATCTTATGTCCAAACCGAATCTGGAGCTGTTTAACTCCATGTGATACTCAGCAAACATTACGCATATTTTTGCGTCCCTTTGTATATATACGTTCACCATATGGTCGTTGTAAAGTTAACTGCTTTTTAGACCATTAAACCTTGAATTGAATTCGTCGCTTGCATTCACTTTTCATGCTTGTGACCATGCTCTTCAAAAGTAAGTGACAATACGTACATTCAACGACACTACTTGTACTTTGAAGGTAGCATGAACCTATTGCTATTTGGCTTGCAGCGCATTCAACGTTGGTTGGTCGGTGGTGGTAGGAAGAACTCGATTGGATTGTTTCATCCATAGGTTACTCGGTCGGTGAACCCTTGACTGTGCTCAAAAATGATGCTTCAGCCAACCATTAACTGGTTATTTATGGCGTTTTCGCGTAATTAATCAAGTGATCAGTCCCGAAATTATGTGGCACCAAAACTCACGGGAATTCTATTTACCCCAACCAGCCTGATGCATTGAAAATACATGATACCAGGTCAAAACCGAGTGACTTCTCCCACCCTGAGTCGTTCGTACAGTAATGGCCCAAGTGTCCCTCCGACAATTTCACTCTGATCGCTTGCCAAGGCGATTTTCCAACATGTGAGTAGTACGTCCATCACTGAATGAAACAGTCCCTTAAGGAGTGTATCATAAAAGAACGTCTGGTCTACGCGGGACAAATGTTTAAATATCTTGGAAATCGATCTAGCCAAGGACCAAACTTTGAAACGCATATTTTGCCAAAAGAAAATCTACGAAATAACTTTAGAAGATACTAAGTAACTTTTCCCTTCATAATGGTTAGTTCAACAAGCGAAAAACCACCTACTACTCTTGACTTTATGAGAAAGAAAAGCAGAGGAAAATCGCTAGTTAATAAGATGATCAATGAAGCGATGTCTACAAAAGTTTACTTCATACCGACAATAAACACTCCAGAAGGAAAGAGGTGAGGTAACCTATTCGATGAACTGCAAATGCGAGGACGGCAGAGGGACGTGAAGGGAATTAGAAAACGTGTGGGTGCTGTGGCCTTCCAGGATGGGAAGCGCGTGATTTCCACTGCGCCTGGTTGAAGACACTGCAAGATATGACCGTCAACCGATGTCAGTGGCTTTCTTGTTGTCAGTTCCTATCCAGATCGTCTGAATAAGTGTCTGGATGTGTAGGTACCTCGGAATGATTGTGGTAAGCTAGCACTAACTACCTTCCCCGTCCATTTTTATTCTTTTCTTCACAATAAGGCTTTCAAATAAATCATGGTGGCACGACAGAGAAGTATAGGCGTTGAACATGCTGTCGATGATGATGATGATGATGATGATGATGATGATGATGACGATGATGATGATGATGATGATGATGATGATGATGATCATTGGGATGATGATGATGAGAAAATGCTGGTATTGTATTACTAGTAGTACCACTACTGACAATTGAGAAGATCGTCTTTTTACTCTGAACATGATGAATTATAATTTAGATTTTCTGTTTTGGTCGAATTCCAACGCCAGTTTTCCAGTTCCCAACTATATCAATATTGGGTATGTACATTGAACGGGAGCTGATGAAACGCGGCACTCACTCTGGGAGTGAGTCTGGAATGATCTTCGCCAGTCAGTACTTTTGTAAATTCAAAACGAATGAACACATTTCTAGCGTAGAACATACTAAGCTCAGTGAAGTACGTTTAAAAAGGAATGGATGCACGGCAACTGTCGTTCATAAGCTGAATGGAACTTTGTTTGAACTTTTGCAATCACTGCTGAAAGTCGTACGGGAACTTTTCGTGTTTGAATATGTTTCTGTTCTGGCGACCGAAAGTGTGCATAGAATTCGATTCATCTTATCACATGTGGTAATCAGCTATCATCAGCCTTTTCAAAAAGGTGAACAACAAGTGGTCTGAACCACCCAAAACCAACTAAATGAGTTCTTCTAGAAATGTCTCTGATACATCAGTTATCAATTGGACAAAAGCGCGGCTATTCTCACAAATGCTGTCCAATATGTAATTTTCCCAACAACAGCAGTCACGAGTGCGACTCAGACTCATTTATCGCTTTCCCAGACTAAGGCGCACACCGAATCTTTGAGACTGTTAGGTCCTTTTGGTATGCATGTTATCCTGTACGTCCTTCCCCAAGGCTCTATTCGGTTAAAAGCAACTCACTGCACATGTCGATTCAATTACCATGTGTTTGACAGCCGCTGTTCTTAAAGTGGTGACGCACTTGCATGCCACGTTCGTCTCTTTGGTCACGGTAATGCAGGGGCTTAGATACATGCGGTTTCGTTGACTAGCTCTGGTCGACGCCCACGTAGGGCATGTGTGATTTCAGTGGACCGACGCCCCAAAGCCAGCCAAGATGTACATCTCTCGTAATGCTATTTGCACTTCTAAAAAACGCGAGCAGTTCACTCGGTCCCCAATTCTCCATTTGGCGCTGAGTCTTTTTACGGATGCACGCCTGTACGCACCCGAGTTTGGTGTACGCATCGCAGCACGTGGAGTTATCGTTGTCACCCCCTTCCGGGTTGTGAGTGTGTGGCAGACAGGCGCAAGCCTGGAGCACAGGCTCAACTGAGTCAGGCGATCGAAGAGGCACAGTGCGTTTGCCAACTTCGCGATTGACCAGTTCGCGCTAGCTGAGATGAACAGTGTGCCGGTTTAGCCGTGAGTACGGACGAACACACAATGGACGAAACCGAACGACCGATTGATTTTTGCTGGCCGTCAACAATCTCTTTTGGAGCACGTGCAATGGCCGAATGACGTCAATTAGAAAGGCAGTTGAACTCCACTTCATCAAAGGGTTTTATTTTCAGCCATTTAACTGGAGTGATATGAGAATAGACCTACTTGTGACAATTAGAGGGTCACAGGTAATGATCCGCGCAGTGCAATAAGACAAACAAAACGCGTCCGATAACCTGACAAATTCTAGGCTTCTGAAATATTGGGTGAGTCAACGAGTTCACTACAACTATTCCTAAACGGTAGCATGAAGTGTCCCAGCTTTGGTTTTCATGTCTTTGGACCGAGCGGCTGGATTAATCTCGAACAAAGGTCTTGCTACATTTCGGTTTCATTATGAACGCTGGCATTGCTCGCTAGAGATCGACGTAGTCTAGAGGGCAAAATATTTGCAGGCAAGTACAAACCTTTCTAAAACTGATGGTTAGTTAGCCTTCTGAATCTTGGCCATGCTCATCTAAGCGTCAGTAGGCCTAACTGATCCTAGCTTGGTTTAAAAACGAACCTGAGTGTTGATCCACCGACCAGAACCCATGGTCGCGAATCAACCAAATCAAGACTGGCCAGAGGAATGTCTTACATCCAACTGCCGTTAACGTGTATTTCCATCACATCTTCCGTGAGATTCAACTGTTTAGTTATTCAAGGGTGACCTAACGAACACGTGCAAGGAGTTGGTGTAGCTACCCGGTCACGCACACACTTGACTGTTCAGCTCACAAATGGCTCATTGGATCACGAGGCTTGTCTTTTTTCCCATACCCACAAACTACGTCACATTAAGGTGACTCATCGGACATCGAGTGTCGGTACCGTCTAGTGAGCGTAGCAACAATTCATGTGCCAACACACCCACGTACAGGCAAACGGACCTACTTATAGGAAAACCGAACACAATCAGTGTACACAGACTCGCGCGCGTGCATGGAGCAAGGAGTCAGCCAAACACTCCAATTCCACGGACAATTATGAGGTATGTGTAGCAGCCAACATGCGGAGGAAACACGTTCCCGCTGTCCAGACTTCCACCAAGGGACTCACGCATACGGTAAGTTCCCTTTTTGACTTGCTCCCACTTCGCATTACATTTATTTTTATACGTGTTGCAACCCACCACTGTTAACCATAGTAAAAACTTTTATAAGTGCATACACCTGATTTGTATTACGGCCATCAGCATCACCTGTGCACTAATACTGGTTATGTGAAGATTCCTCTTCCGGTTCACTTTTCAAAAATCTTTGGCGGCATAGAATATTTTATGGCGAAACTAAAAACAGAATAGTTGGCTGCCGTGAACAACAGGGATGAACCACTAGATCCGTTATGAAATTCATCTCTTAGTACTAGTTTGTGCACATATCAGCTAGGCAGGTGAATTTATACAACAAAGGCAAAATCTGGCATCGCCGAGTGGCAGCTGTTGTGTGTAGTTCACTACTGAAATAGCCTGGCATTAGGTCGATCGAACCGAACGCTATTCACTTTGCTCAATGGCAGTTATTCAAACGTCATTGAAAATGTGCGATTGGATGGATGCACGCTACAACTTCTTTTTTCGTTCAAACCATAGGAACTTTTTGCGGAAAATCACAAAAGTGGAAGCAAGTGTGTAGTCCCTTTTTCAGTAACCAACAGCAGAGATGTATGTTTAGGCTTGCAACGTGCAAATGCGCTCTAAGTTGGAGCTCTTATGAAGGATAATCATGGACGGAAATGCTGATATCCAAACACGTGTAGCAGTTAAGTTGGAAGGAAAACACGTCTCGAGTCCGGACTTTCACCCAGGTACTCTTACCATTCATGTCTAACCGATATGGCTACAGACAAACCAGGAAAAAACGTGTAGCAGCCCAAAACTGCGTCTGGACAAAATTGAAGAATTGCCATAACGTGTGCTCAAACCGATAAGTCACCTTTCGGAACCATTTCATTCTGACATTGTACTTATTTTATTAAAATGCGCCTAAATGTTGTAATCACCATCATTATTCTTATAAACATAAGCTTTTTGAGTATTTGTCACCTGATAATTAAGTTCATTTCATTACAGTTAGAACACTAACAGTATAGGTGACATCAACCGGGTTGCCACCAAATTGCTGAAGCCATCGAACAGGCCACCAACGCGAGAAACTCTTTCGTCGACCGATGCTGATTAGAAACCGTAAAAGATCGGTGAGCTACTCTTTCCGGGCGGTACCGTTCAGTTGGAACCATGGACTTATGATTGACTTGGAAGATCAAAATCAGTTCAGTGTGTGCAAATATCCGCATTTAAGAAAGCTCAGTAAAATTTTGCGGTATTCTATTTCATCTTTACATTGAAAAGATACATGCACACTGCAAGGATAAACTAACGGAAGTAATTTGATCGTCTGGTGAGATGATTTATTGCACTTGGGTTTGTAGGCTGCTTTGGTAAACCTGGGGAGATGGTTTCACGAAAAATTGCAGAATTTAGTTCGAGTTTTTGTAATGTACTACTCATAATCTGTCGACAGCTCATAAACGGCCCGACATCATAAACGAGAGACTCAGCTGGGTTCCAGGTGAGTCTCTCCAAAAAACCAAATTAGTTTGCAAATGAGTGTATATTCGTTAGTTTGATTCTATTTAAAATGGGCACAAATGATCAGTGGTGCTTCGTGGAATGGAGTAAATGAAGTTAAATTATGGGATTCAGCTGGATCAGCTGCTTAACAAGGGGTTCCTCAGTTGGAGCATGAGTAGTATGGTAACACACAGCTACCACCAAGAGAGTTACACACCAGTTATTCGTGTGGACTTAGCAACAGTACTCATAGTGTAGCTGCTATCTGCATGTGTTGTACTTCCATTGGTCTGGAAGAAAGACTCCATATTCACACTCCGCCCTTCTGTTGAAGGCTAGCGTTCCAGATTTAATTTGGTCCGTGGCCAACTGAATATTTGGACAAAATATTATGCCCAATGGTTCAGACGTTCTCCTTTACTGAATATCAGCGGGCCATTATGGTCCATGACAGTTTCACTGACAAGAGGCTTCAAGGAATCAAGTGGAACAGGCTGTGGAGGTTTCCTGCATTTTTCGCACCTTCTAGTTCTTCACTCCTTTGGCTCCACCAGATTCTAAGTCGGATGATGCGTCGGGTTGAGTTCTGAAGTGATCAGTCGCTTGTCCTCCAGCGAAGCCACGCTCCTATCAGAGATTCAATGTCTGGGTCGTACCACAAACAGAACCACCGGCTCCGAAGAGCGCTTTGGACAACTGTTCCAGTGACCTTCAATAACCATGAAGGCGTTCTAGCAGCCTGTGTCCCTCCTGTTCTAGGAGTCTGCCCACTAGCTTCTCAATGGTGTGCGAGGGGTGGGCGTTTCGGGTAGACCAGAGAAGCGCAAAGAAAGCATCAGCGCACAAGTGCGTGGTATTCTAGAGGGACTAGCTGGCAGTCATCGACCCTCACCACCGATAGTTGGCAGCGGTGTGATGTATTTGGATTCGGAAGTGGTTCGCTGGTGAGCACTACGTTTTCAAGCGATTTCCGCTCTTCCGAAAATCCGNGAACAGTAGGTTGTGGCACACATCTGAAGCGGGCGATTTCCGTTGTCCGTGCTTCTCGTAACCAATCCAAGACGACCACCCAAGTAGGCCTCTGCAGCTCTTAGTCTATTAGTGCACTAATAATGCACTAATAATTGATTTTACTATGGTTGACAGTAGTTTACAATGGTGAGTTGCACCGGGTATAAAATAAACACAGTGCGAACAATGGAAGACGTAAAGAAGGTGACTTCTCATTTGTGAGAGTTTCTGGGTGAAAGTCCGGACGACAGGAACGTATTTTCCCGCAGTAAAGCTGCTACACGTGTTCCGTAATTGTTCGTGGACTTGAAGAGTATGGCTGACTCCCTGCCTCCTGCGCGCGCGAGTGTTTTGACTGTGTCGTTTCTTCCTATGTATAGGAAGGTTTCATCTGTGTATACTACGTAGAATCGTTCCGACGCCTACAAGACGGGGACCTACTTGATGTCAGTTTAGATTCCCAGCGAGACAGGGTTTTGTCACGTGATTTGTGCGTTTGTGAAACGAAGGAGTCGCGTGAGACAAATTAAACGAAGTTAGTTGAATGAACAAGGAATCTTTTCCAGATAAGCCCCGCCAAAAAATTAACCCCCGCCACCCAAAAAAGATTAGAAAAAAGAGGATATGAAATTTGCACTTTTATTTTTTATTGAATGGGGTGAAATTGGGACATGTCATTAATAACTTGCATGAAAAGGTCCANTTTTCGGTACCTTTGCCTCCAGACGAACTCACACAAGTAGCTGTCCACTAAAAATCGCTGTGTACCGGATTGGCGTTTATTCTGCATCATGTAGACGTGCCAAACAGATTCGATGGTTTGTGTGTGAGCTCCAGTCGTTGGATCCACAAAGTTTTCGGTATGATTAATCGTTTCACGAGTATAATTCATGTCAATCCTTGTTTCAGTTCCTTGGTATGATGCCCACATATCGGAGATGATGGTTGAGCGGGGAGCGATGCAGGCCTGGATTGTGTCCATCAAAGTGGCCACAGTTCGACCTGGCACTGTATACATGACCACCTCTGCACAAAATGAGCCTAGATGCGGTAAGCAATTGTTTTCATCAAAAATAGGTCAAGGTTGTGTGCGTGCACTGAACTGGAGCTAGCACAAAGTGGCGGGGCTTAACTTTTCGCACATGCACTTTTTGCATTGGTGGCGGGGCTTATCTGGAAAAGATCCGGAACAAGGAAGTGACTGATACAACTCTACCTGCCTGGGCGCTGATATCACTACCAACCACAACGATACGATCAGTTGGCTGCGCACTGATGATGTCTCCTCGTATGGTGACGAAACGTTTGCAAGCCAATTGCCAAGCTCGGCGAACAGATCAACAGCCATCTGATCAACAACCAATAACTTTTCCGCTCTCTCGCTCAAGACGATACCCACTCCGGCATATTCATCTGCACCGTCCTCTGCATCACCAGAGGTGAGCAGCCATGGAGCAGGCAATAGAATGACAGTACTTGCCTTCTGTATCCTTGTTTCGAACAGACAACACACATCAATACAGAGGGAATCCAGCGTACGCGCAAGAGCCACCTGTTGATCTGCTTGCTTCAGTGTTCGAACACTGAAGGTGGCTAAGTAGACAGGCTTTCGGGGTTTGAAAACAAACTTCGTGGTATTTATGGTTTTTACTGAAGTCGGACACACAGAAACTGCAGCTAAGCTTGATGCACGGCGAAGAAAGTGGTCAGCCCTAGTACTGCGACCTGGAGAGAGAAAGAGTATTCAGATTCGATTGGGATAGTATAGACGAGGGAACATGCGGAAGTGCAAGAAGGAAAGCATCAGCTATGCCCTGTTTTCGACTAGCTGCTCTGCTGTATGCAGCAAGTAAGGCGACCCGGCTGCTGGCATCACGCGACGGTTGATGTGGCACCAGAGTATTGTTAACTGTGGGTATCATGGTTATAGGTGGACTAAGATACTTCCCGGTCTCCAAGACGTGGACAGGAGGAAGACTAGGGCCTCAATCAAAGCCTCTGACTCGGAAGGCTGACCACAAGGTAGTGGTGTTTGGCGGGAAATGTCAAGTTATTGCCATTTTCATAGAACAAGTTCCAACCCTCAAACTGGGGAGGGGGGGGGGTAAGGAAACTGTGTTGGTTAGACCTCTAACCATGACAAACCTGCTATAGGAAGCTCTTTGAGTGTCGCACGGACACCCTGCAGTATAGCTCATTGAGTCACGGAGGTATACACAAAGGAACATCGTGGTAAGATCCAGTATGGATCCCGTACGGACGACACAGCTGAAACAAGACGCAAAGATGCCCCATTTCTCAGCGCTGACGCTACCTTGACTAGAGACGAAGCGTCAGGCAAGATCACCGAACAATCCAGTCACCAACGGTTATATATCCTAACGTAGATTGTCACTAGATTACTGTATCAAGTGAAAAGTAACCATATCCCCAACTTGGAGTTGGGCCGTGAATTTGGAAAGTCCAACTTCAACATAGTTACGATGTATTTGGTCGGTTTTGTTCCCATTTTCGCTACCACAGAATCCCCTCTAGTAATCTGTTGGACTGTGGCAGGTCTATGGATGTTTTTTGCCAACTCGGCAGCTTGTGGTTGCCAGGAGACTATCCGCCCTGACTTTACTTTGTGGTGCAACACAACTCTCGTGGTCAGCTTCAAAGAACGTTAACGACTGTAAACCGATTGCGTATAGCTAGGCACCGACTGTTCTTGTATAACAAAAACGAGCATTATTCCCGTCTTCTTTAAAAGGTTTCTTACTTGTTGCGTGTTGGGAGTAATCTGTGGACCACACGTACGAGAACGATGATAATTTGAAATAACTTGGGGTCTGTAGCACCACTGATGTGAAGTACATCTGCATAAGTCAATTAAACTCCCCTTAGTGTCCCTGAATACAAACTTCCTTAAAAGTAGAATTCTGTTGGCTGACTCCCCCCACCATATTACAATCTATTGCCTTTTGATTTACTGATGTTTCATCGTAGATAGTTGACATGTGTCTAAGCGAAGTAACGTATCAACGATCGAAGTAATGAACTGAATAAACAACGAACGCGTTGCCCTGCGAACCCTACCCCTAAATTTCCACCACCTTGTTCATGCTTTCCACGTTTTACGTGCAGTCCAGTTGCGGCGTTGGTAAGTTCCAACCTCAAACTGGGGAGGGGGGGGGGTAAGGAAACTGTGTTGGTTAGACCTCTAACCATGACAAACCTGCTATAGGAAGCTCTTTGAGTGTCGCACGGACACCCTGCAGTATAGCTCATTGAGTCACGGAGGTATACACAAAGGAACATCGTGGTAAGATCCAGTATGGATCCCGTACGGACGACACAGCTGAAACAAGACGCAAAGATGCCCCATTTCTCAGCGCTGACGCTACCTTGACTAGAGACGAAGCGTCAGGCAAGATCACCGAACAATCCAGTCACCAACGGTTATATATCCTAACGTAGATTGTCACTAGATTACTGTATCAAGTGAAAAGTAACCATATCCCCAACTTGGAGTTGGGCCGTGAATTTGGAAAGTCCAACTTCAACATAGTTACGATGTATTTGGTCGGTTTTGTTCCCATTTTCGCTACCACAGAATCCCCTCTAGTAATCTGTTGGACTCTGGCAGGTCTATGGATGTTTTTTGCCAACTCGGCAGCTTGTGGTTGCCAGGAGACTATCCGCCCTGACTTTACTTTGTGGTGCAACACAACTCTCGTGGTCAGCTTCAAAGAACGTTAACGACTGTAAACCGATTGCGTATAGCTAGGCACCGACTGTTCTTGTATAACAAAAACGAGCATTATTCCCGTCTTCTTTAAAAGGTTTCTTACTTGTTGCGTGTTGGGAGTAATCTGTGGACCACACGTACGAGAACGATGATAATTTGAAATAACTTGGGGTCTGTAGCACCACTGATGTGAAGTACATCTGCATAAGTCAATTAAACTCCCCTTAGTGTCCCTGAATACAAACTTCCTTAAAAGTAGAATTCTGTTGGCTGACTCCCCCCACCATATTACAATCTATTGCCTTTTGATTTACTGATGTTTCATCGTAGATAGTTGACATGTGTCTAAGCGAAGTAACGTATCAACGATCGAAGTAATGAACTGAATAAACAACGAACGCGTTGCCCTGCGAACCCTACCCCTAAATTTCCACCACCTTGTTCATGCTTTCCACGTTTTACGTGCAGTCCAGTTGCGGCGTTGGTAACAATTGAGTATCAGGACAAATTATGCATTCGCAACGACGTACTACCTGCACTTAACCTACGATGTAAGCAGAAAAAAACGAACGCATCTGCCGGTTTTAGAAGATGTCATTTAGCTCACTGGTCTCTAAAAGGAACATTCTATCCTTGAAGGGAACTATTCATAAGGTTCCTGAATACTCTTCGGCAGCCCACCATCGGTTGCGCTCACTTTGGGGTGGTGGAGTAGATGAAGTCGCCGAGTTTACGTCAACCTTATATTCTGCTTGAAGCCAAATGGTACGAAATTAGCGAAAAACACTCACGCACAACACGGGATGCTCTACTGAATTCCAGTTGAATCTCTCGGTTGTGGCTGTTCCTCAGCTGAATCTGTTTCAAGAAGGTCACCTGCTGCTTACTACGATATTCAAGATATACCAGTATATTTTCTTGAAGGAAACTACTCAGTTTGGGTCCGACCAGAAAACAGAAACTCGAGGACTGTGCCCACCTGATGAGCCCCACGAAAGGCGAAATTGGTGATAGGCTGCCGAAGAGATTTCAGCAACGTCATTAGTAGTTTCCCTCAAGAAAATGTACCACCATATCCCGAATTTCACATCAACTAGAACACCGGGTGGTCCCTGTGAAGCATATTCAGTTGGAAAACACCATCAAAAGGTTTAGGTGAAAACCAAATCGGTATGCAAATGAGGGCATTTCATTCTATCCTGCTCCGTAAAACACGTTTGAATCGAATCAAATGTGAGCCTGTCCATCCGGTACACTACGCTTCTATGTAGATTTTGGTGTTGAAAGTCAGCTGTGACTGTGCTTGTATGACAGTCAGGTGAGACTTTATTGTTCAATCAATACTACTTGAAATATTGATCAAGTGAATGACATTTGGCAGCATACAAGCGATAACACATAAACAACGGTCACATTACTCCAACCAATGTGAAGTACTTTTACTGTGCATGTACATTGTCGCCAAGGTATCCGAAAATACCCGTTAGGCTGTCGTACCCAAATAGGAAGTATCCAGTTAGGGGACGTGGCGTAGTCAGCCCGGATCTAACCACAATAATTTCAGAAGACAGGAAAACGATACTATCCGTTTTGTGACATCGGGAATCCTATGCAAATGTTTAGTCTCTTGTGCGGATCACAGGCACACACACAAAAACATACAGGAAACAGCCAAATGAAAGTGAGAACTACAGAATTACTGAAGAAAAACAAACGAACACACGAATAAATTGTTACCATACAAGGGCCATTTTCTTCTCCTCGATCGGGCCTTGGTATTCCTGTGCGGAATCTAGTTCTGGAACTCCACGGGTCCAGTACATCCGTTCAGATGTCCAACCATTAAGGTCACTTCCCTCAAACATTGAACAACCCGTTCAAGGTCAAGTTTTTCATTCAAACCAGAAACACTGAATTGGTCTGAACTCTCAATGTTCAGCGACGTGAGAAACTGCAGAAATAACCTGATGCGTTCCTTTTGGCGCAGTTTTTCAAAAGTTGTCTTGTCGGAAACTTCCCAAATTGGGTTTTCAAGTACTTCATGAACCAACGTCGGATCTAGACAAGCCATAATATATCCAAGTGCCAAGCCATCTTTAAGATAATCACCAAACTCGTTTGAACCAATAGATTGGACATCTTGCGGCAGTTTCTTGGAGGCTTCCCAGCAGGGTCCATGCATGCTTGGTGGCTTTTTTAAGGCGCGAATCCAACGGAGTATCCTTGCTGCTGCTTCGCTGTCGAATCCTGACATTTCTAGACAGGCCTGTGTACACTGTACAACTCAACTGTAGTTGAAAAATTTCGTGGTTCTACGAGGACAGGTACGCACATCCACATGCAGTCGAGCCAATGTTTTCAAGCAGATAAGATCACAGGACCCTTTAACTACATAAACTGGTTGGATAGCACGTTTGGGAATCGTTTGGGGTCGTCGCACTGCCCTAGATCACGTGTTCCTCGTTAGGCCGTTTCATGTGAGTTGCTGCATGAGCTATGGAGCTGGAGGGAGTTAACTGACAGTTCCAAATGCGTGATCAGGTTATTGGCATGTTAAACAGGGGCCCAGATTTAGTGCATACCAACAACTATTCATCTGTATCATTCTACTGAGTGTAACTGTTGTAACTGTAAAAAGCTGGATTCCTCGCATATATTTTCACAAGGGGTCCCACCATCTGAGTGACAGCCAAGCCCTCTTGCTATCCGGCTGTAACGAGACCTGGGATCTTTATCACGATATCTCAAGTTTATTCATTTTGACTCACAGGAAGGTAGTCCACACAGCGCGTTGGGTGTACAGCGCATTTTTCTGCAAAGCCCTTGCGAGTGAAATAAAACCTGTTACTTCAAAATGTTGCATTTCTTTTCATATGTGCTCACACCAAAAATCACCCTCATCCGCAGTCATTTTTTGCGATTTGTTTTAATTAATCGCCTTTGAAATTTTTGGCGCACATTCGACTTTGAACTTGCTGTGCTGTGGATTCGAAAGCGACTTCACACGCGTTTGATGATAACTGGGACTGTCCTTTTCATCCTTCACACTGATGCTTGTTGACCTTGAAGATTCACTCCTTTAAACAAATCACCAATGTAGACAGTTTGCAATAATAAATGAACATAGACGTTAAACATAGACACTCTACACTATGAAATGGAAACCCTGAAAATGCCATAGCTTTCGAGAAACCAATTCCATTTCGCGAACACCGAACGGCGTAGTCCACCTAAGCCGCTTGGTTGTTTCGAATCCCAGTTACTTTGGTGAAGAACCAGGGGAAAATATCCTGGAATCGGTTTAGCTGGTGACTGACAAGTTCTGAGCCTTACTGAAAAGCAAAAGTAGCTTCAGCAGTATACGTATGGAATCATTAAAATACTTTTTCGACCTTTTGCATAGCAACTAGTAGTGGAACGAATACGCATGATTAATTTGAAAATCAAAGACGAGCTATAAGACGGACTAGGTGAATGCTGCTGAATTACAATGTCGGGTGAATTACCTCCAAAGCCATCCAACCAGATGCCTCCAAAAGTGGAAAGTGGGTTTCCCAAACATACTCTGACTGATATCACGTTCTAGCTTTCTGTATAAGGCAGTGTCTGTGTGAACCATAAATTCTTGACCTTTCTTAAGGTGCTGTATGCCAACTTCCGCGGCCGTGTGATGAACTACGGGAGGCCCAATTCTGAGTTCGCCAGGTTAAGTGGTGTCAGACAGGGCTGTCCTCATTCACCTTTCCTCTTCAAATTCATCATTGATACGATCATGGAAGACTCACTATTAGCCTATAGTGCCTGTAGGATCGAAGTTCCCCCTGGGCCTCCGCTCACAGACATCGAGTACGCAGACAACATAGCTCTTCTTGGATCTGACCCCCTGGTAATGCAAATAATACTAAATGATCCAAACGATTCTGCCTCACGGTTCGGCATGCGCTTCACACCTGCAAAGTGTAAAGTGCTACTGCAAGACTGGGTGGGCTCGAACCCTAGCCTCATGCTTGCGATGAACTGATTGAAGTGGTAAACACGTCTGTTCACCTGGGCAGCTGTATCAGTCCCGGCGGTCTCGCGAAAGATTATATTTTCATCTGGTTCAGGAAGGCCAGAGCAGTTTTTGTGAACCTGTGTCACCGGTGGCGTGGGTGTGACCTCAGCATACCCTTTAAGATTCGAGTTTACAATGTTGCGGTGCGCTTCATATTACCATACGGGTCAGAAACCTGGCCGCTGCGCGCCGGAGACATCAAAAGTCTTTCAGTGTTTGACCATCAATGTCTTCGGAGCGTTGCCCGAATCTGTTGGGAACATCGGATAAGCAATCATGAAGTACGTCGGATGGTATTCGGAAGAAATAACTCACCCTCGTTAGAAGAACTAATCACACTGCATAGGTTACTCTGACTTGGCCACGTGCTGCGTATGCCAGTCGACCGACTTCCTCGAAGCGCTCTTTTCGCCCAACCATGTAAACGGTGGAAACGAGCCAGAGGCGGTCAAGCAATGACTTGGCAGCGAAGTATGAAAGCCATTACCAGCAAACTCAGCTGCGCTGGTCACTGCCGCCGTCCTGGATGGGGACCCCGGTACGGTCCACATCAATGGTTAGAGACATAGTCAGACATGGTCTAGTCGCTCCCTCAATGGCGCTCGTGCATCCAACCTATTGCCTTCAGTGCATAGCTCCCTTCCCATTCCACCCAATTAACAGTTCACTGACAGTGCTGCGGCAGGTACAACCACTGTACGACAAGTACGTGGTTCTTACAGCTGACAATGATGATGAGGCAATAAACCGAGCTATCACGTCTGGTTTACAAAGGAACTGAGTGATACAGCGGCGTAACTAGTCTACTTGGAGAGGAACACAAGCATCTTTATTCCTTTAGAGAAACTAAATCCTTCAAACAATCTCCAAGTCAGGTTATCAATAACACATGTGTATAAAATTTCTGCTACTCACATCACACAGACGTCTCGAGATGACCGATGGCAATATGCAATCTAGTTTACAGGCGTTTGTACAGTTTGTTTCTTTACAGGTATTCAAGAATGATTGTAGTAAGCTAATACCAACTTTTCTTCTTGTCCACTGTTTTCTTTTTTCCGGATCAGCAGGATGGGGAAAACTGATCTTGCTGCCAAGGATGATGAGTCAGATGAGTTGTAGCACCATCATCGTCATCATTATCGCGACCGTTGTAATCGATTACTGGGTTTCGAATCCGGACTATAAGTCGGCCAACTCATGGCTCGCATATTTCGGAAGAAAATCGGCGATCTTGTGAGGTCGCCAACATCTTGGACCATTATCCAATTGTGTTTTACATCTGGTACGCACTGAGTTAGTAGAATCTCTCGAAGTGCTTCTATATACTGTTGTGTTGCTGAGTCTCCGCCTTGCTGACTGTTGGAGAGGGATCCAAAACCAAATTAGAAAAGGGCGTTATATCAACAGGCGACATACAGTCGGAACAACATAACCAAAAGTGCAAATCGAGGAGGGATATTTTTAGTGAAGACGAGTGTGAGTCAGTTAACAGACGTTGCCAAATATTAACAGAGAAACAGTTAGGCCACACCAGAAGGTGGCGTCGACTGCCACAAGCAATGTTCGGTATCACCATTTAGATGTATTCACTGCAAAATCATCTAGAAATCGCTTACCGGAGTCTTCGAAATTCGTCCCATGACACACTATTCCATATGGACCAGGTGATTTGAGCATTTCTGTCCACTCAACGTCAGATTCTCCGCTACTTGACTTCACCTAACTTAGTCGAAGTATGAAACTTCTTGGTGAAATACAGAGAGACGACACCAAGGGAAAGGACACAGAGAACTGGGCAAGAACAATCAGCCGAAGCCAATAGCTGAAGTACTTTAGTATGCTTTATTGTCCACCACCTAAAAGTACAGATTGTCAAGCTTGGCGAGGTGAACGAAGGCCATCAGTGAAGCAGTCGAATAGAGTAATCACCATGTATTGAGTCAAATACATGCCGAGAAGGGTAATAATATACTTTCCATTCCACATCATCTATCGTTCTGTCAAGCTTCAGTTGAAGAGAATGGTGCAGCAACCGATGCATTTTCACTGAGATGCACTATTCCTTTCAATTGATATTTGTTTGGCGTTACGTGTAACAATCACCTTAGTACTTACGAGCACCTCTGCCACCAGTCTTTTCCCTTATTTATGAGGCGAATTCGCCAAGAGGTAGCCGACAAATTGGGAAAAACCACCATTGAGATGCTCAGCCTCCTTGCAGTGCAGAATCCCTCATTTTTATTTGCCTGTAGGCCAGTATTTATCACCTTCCACACCTATAGAACATTCTACCGCAGGCCGTTCCTCAGCTGAATGTAATGACTGATCTTTTAACGACTTCAATGCGCAGTCCCCGTGAAGAGTATCGTGGACTCAATTCGTTGCCTCAGTACAAGCTACTGACGCTCACTGAACATCAGTCAGAGTGACAGAGACAGAGGGATTTTCCCATTTATGGACCCAACCAAGGATTATGATACTTCGACTCGATGGTCTTTATATAGGATGTTTTCATAAGCTTCTATATTTCTGAAGCACGCTTTTTACTGCTGAGTGCGAAATCAAGTGTAGTGTGGGTTGTGTAAGCTACTTGATTGATTTGTTGACTGTCCGTTGAGAGGACACAGATCTAGTCCCTACAACATTTAGTTGCTTTAACACTATTTCGCTCGCAGTAAGTCCGAAAAACAGTCTAGCTATGTTCAGAGATCGTATAAACAAGTGGTTCTGAATGCCTTAAATCTAACTCCTTCAGTAGTTGCCAAGAGTTTGGCGAACCCCAAAAAATAATTCTTTGGCTCAGAAAGTCACCATTTTGTCGATTTATTGTTATTAACATGCCCAATCGTTTCATGTTTTGACCTATTTCTTTTCTCTGCTCACGTGATTCCGATCTTTATCACATATTATTTCACGCAGGTTGTTTTGCCACTCATATTTTTCAACTTCACACCTGGGCACTCACATAAATCACCTGATTAGCACCGTCATGCGTTGCGTTTTCGATAATACGCAGATATCACGTTGCCATCCACTTTAAACTTCACTTGTGTATTCATGGATAATTTTACGGCTTGAGAAAGGTGGTTTTACAGTGTATGACCACCACACCCATTATAAATTCCATAACCCATATTCTTCTCAGTGTCGTCAAAGACACTAATCAGTAAAACCTGTAACACTTGGACGGTCGAGGTAAGATTAACTGGCCGCTAGTCACTGCCCACTCTTAACTACGAGTGATATCACTGAAAAAGTGGAGGCCAATGTTCAACACATGTATACTTCTCTATGGTGTCTTGGTAGCTCTATAAAAGTGGACAAATGCCAATGGGCTTTCGGGGGCTGCCAATCGTCTTTACCGAGTGGCGCATCAATATTTTGATTATGAGACCAAGTGAAATTTGAGATAGCCATTGCACTTCACGTTCGCCTGGCAAACATTATAACTGCTGTATTCATTTGAAGCTCGTTTTGATCTCTACTTCACCCCAAGGCGATATATATGTCAGTCCATGTCGTACCCGTTGGTGAGATTTAGACGACTGAAGGAAACCATATCGCCTCAGAAAACAAGCTACTCACGTTTATAAGTAGCTGAGATAGGCGTTTAAATTTGATCCGTCAGTGGCATTCAGTATGACGCGACGCGTGGTGCTTTTGTCAAACTAGTTAATCTGTAGCCACCTACAAGATACACATAGTGATTCGGACGTGGTACTATGTTATTTTGGTCTAGCGGTGGTGGGCGCATCCTGTGAACCTCACTAGTTGAAGCATCGTTCAACTCCGGTTTCGGCCATGAAAAGCAGGGGCGATCCCCTGCGACTGTGACATTCAAAACTTCTTAGTTTGCTTTTCATGTAGCGGTTTTCAATTACGTTTGAGCTAATTCCGTGATACTTTCAAGTCATGGAGTTCGGTGAACTAGCCGGTTAAATAAAACACCTAAGAATACCCGAACAGGCAACTGTATCACTGATTACAAGGGCTGGTAAATTTTGTAGGAGCTTCAAGAAAACTTGCTCAGTTTGTCTTTTCTACACGACTCACAAACAACCAGTCAAAAAATCGAGTATACTACCTGATAACCAATAATTACTCGCCACCGAGTCTTCCTCAGGATTCGATGCAATTTCGATGCTTTCCCAATGCTGAATTCAAACTGTGCACATGCCATTCATAGGGTATAGCGGCCATAGTTCCATCAATTATACTGTTTTCACTGATGGAAAATTGCTTTGGAAGAGGGCAGACCCCCACCCCCCACCCCCGAAAAGCCGGATCTCCGGGTTTTGGTTTTGATTTCACCTAATGTTTGTGCCGGCTACTAGGCCAATACTGCCCACACTGATTTTCAGCACCATTCTATCACTAGCCTTATTAAATTTTCAAGGTCAGCTTGCGGCAGTCAATAGCTAGTCGTATCCTGCAACATGTTCGTAGTGAAGGCAACTTTTTGTCCCTACTGAGGATCACCAACCACGGGTAGCAGATTGTATCCAACCCGTAATCCCCGTAGAGTCGCAGTTCTCTAAGCTACGCGTCTACTGGATATACAGGTACGGGTGAATGGTAGGCAGTCAACTCGATGGACTAACTACTTACCGGATGAGCTGCCTATTGTAACTAGTCACGTGAGCGGGGTTCTCACCCAAGAAACGGCACTTTCCCACACTAGGCTGTGTTCAGATTAGGTGTTGCGGTTCGATCTGAGTCATGCGTTGTACGCTTATTAAATTTACTACATCCGACATTACCTGTCTACTGAGCTACAGTGTGGGACCATGCTACGATATGTCCTCGGAACAGAGCCATAGAACTAGTGTCCTTTTGATTCCCGATCGATTTACCTTTCCCCAAACAGACCCAAGGTGTCCATTCAAATTTTCTTCTGAAATCCTTTACTTGACTTCCCTCATGGCTCATTATACTCTCTAAATGTAGCCGACTTGGGTTAGAATCTGAAGCAGTTATCGTCAAAAAACAGTCTTTTGGATGAACAGTGTTAGTTGATGAAACGCACTCATTTGCAAATTAAGTTGATGCCGGCAAATCCCAGTGGAATTCCTCGTTTATGATGTTATTTAACCGGATTTGTCGCGCAAAAATCGTTTCATGTTTCATTTAGTATGAGATTCGGGATATTGCAGTATGTTTTATTGAGAGAAAACTATTCACAAGCTTGCTGAAAACTCTTCGATGACTGGTTTTTCCCTTCTTGGGGCTCATCAACTAAGCAAAGTTTGGAGTGTTTCGCCAACCTCATGTCCTAATTGAACCCAAATTGTACAAAAATCTTCAAATTCATTCATTTGTACGCTAATTTGGTTTTAACGGGAAACTCAGCCGAATCCCAGCTGAATTCTTCGTTGATCGTATTCCTCAACAGTATGTGCTGGACCTACCTGGTGAGCTCCAAGAAGGGTGAAACATAAATCGGTCAACTATAGCACCCTTTCGGTGCCTAACGGTCATGCCACCCGAGGAAAGCATGGGAGCTGGGATACTGACAGATCACCCAAGCCTAAACAGGGGAAGTAGAGAGGCAAGAGTCGGGTTCGAACCACGGATCTTACGATTAGCAAATTCGCGCTCTATTCACTGAGCCATCTCATTACTCAATGAGAGTAAAAGAGGTTTTGAACCTCCTACTAGTTTTTGGCAACTCCGTGCGTCCTGTGCTGTGTCAATATAACCGGCTCTGGCGGCTCTTCACCAATCCTATTTGAAGATTGAAGCCGCGGACGGAAAGTGATAAAACCAGGGTTTTATTTGTGTATTGCAGCCAAATGCTCGTTACCGGGAGCTCCATTTCCATGTCGAGGATCCCACTTGTTAAGCCGTAGCCTCAAAGTATCAGGATCCGCCTATATCATGCACAGGTGAGAGAATGAATAACAGGGGATAAAAGGTCGACTCATGTGAATCTGCGTCAAGGTTCATAGTAAGGCGCAGCAGAAACGAACACCTTGGGAAGAGGCGCTTAATGGCTTAATATCTATCCTCTGACCAAATGCTGCTGATGGCAAAAAACGGACTATATGATCAGTTTCGAGGTACTGCCCTTCCATTGAAAATACCCCGAGTTTTGCTGATTACGTCTTTGTAAAATTAAGTCGATTTATTTTCATAAAGGAAACTACTCATAAGGTTGCTGAAAACTCTTCGACAGCCCACGATTAGTTTCGCCCCTCTTGGGACTCATCAGGTAGGCGCAGCCCTCGAGTTCCGTCAACCTTATGTTCTACTTGAACCAAAATTGGACTATTTTCGAGAAATACACTCATTTGCAAATCAATATGGTTTTTCGTATCGTATGAAAATTTTAATAATGATCATGCTGACCTGTTTTGCTGGTTGGCAGATGAACAATTTCCAACTAACAGGGGAAAAGCACATACATCTACGATGTAATGGAAGCCGGTGTAAAATTATCTATGATATGAAGACAGTGTGTGTCGTTGTACATCCTCACGCCTGAAAGTTTGAAGTTAACGGACCAATGTCCTATCAGAGTGCGCATCGCGGCGAGGATTTCCACACCGGTTGGTTTGCTTTAGGACCAAAATTTTGCCGGACCGCGATATCCAGGCTTTCTTTCCGCCTCCAGTCCCAACTGGCAAAGCGAGGTCACAACCTGCGCAACGCCCGTTTTTTCATACAACTGATCGGTTTGGAATTGTGACGTGCCCCGAACACCAAATGCACCGAGAAAATCCAAAAACAATCCAATACGTTCCCTTTGACGGGCTGTCTCAAACACAGGTTTATCCGAAACACGCCAGGTGTTTTGTTGTAACGTGTGCAATCTACTTGGGTCCAAACAGACAGTGATGTAACCCAGAGTAAGACCATCGATGAGGTAGTCTGCGAAAGCGTCGGAACTGACTGATTGTATATCCTGAGGTATCTTCATCACAGAATCCACACAGGGGCCGGTCAGATTCGATGGGCGTGGCAACATCCGAATCCAGCGGAGCACTTTTGCTGCAGTCTCCGAGTCAAATTTACCCTCCATTCGTCTCTGGGCATCTCGAGCGAACCCGGCTTTCTCTGCACGAAACTGTGCCATTTTTTTAGATTACCTGGAGGCTTGTCATAAAAAAGGAAGCTATTTATTCGTTTACAAGAACATATGCAACATCGATAGGATATTGATATCTATCTCAGACAGACACATCCACTCGACGGTCTCTTTGGTGTAGACAGGATTAGGCATGTCATTATCGCTTTTTATTCCACTTACCCTAGCTGAGTGATTGCTTCACGTGACTTGTGTTGAATAGAGTAAGCGATCTACTGGCTTTTTCTAACCATATATATTTTCACTTTTACTGTCGTCAAGCTGACATACATTACCCTGCGACAATTGTTGAAAGTGAGAAGACAGCTTCAAAAAGTTATCGTTAAGGCCTCAAACTGCGTTTATGTCTTTCTGGGCTCATTCAAAATTTGAACGGAATTTGACGGTATTGTGGAAATCAGTAGTAAGATACAAACGCAAAAATGTGATGTTCAAAAATATTCAAAAGCTGTGACGTTCTGGCCCAAATGGACCAGAGCGAGGTGAGGTAGAAACTATAAACTTTGATACCAGAGTTTGCGTGTTACCGTCCTATTGCACTAGTCACCCCATGCGATTACATAATTGACCACGTGATGTAGTAGTGAGAGTCGTGTGACTTCCAGCTTCTGGCGGGTAGTGTAATATATTCCTGTTATAACAGCATTTCTCAAAGTGATGACCCCACCCGCCACTGACACAAAAAGCGCAGCGCGAATTCCACCATAACACCTTTTTTTCTCGCTCTCAGGTATTCGTCAACACCGCTTTCTCTAACCTACGACACTGCATGCCTCATTTTTTGCTTGATAGGCATCAGCATTTAGGATCACACGACAACTTTAGCATTTGGTCCTGTAGTTTGGTGAGTGAAAATAACGGGTGGAGATTTGAAGAGATCAGAAGCTTTAGTATCGGATAAACATAACACAACACCTCAGATATCAATACTATTTCCAAGTATTGCCATCGAGTGCGTTTTACTACATATGACCTGTCTACTTCAAACACTAATTCACTGGACACTTTATCTGGCTTACTTGCCTCACCTTGCAGTTGTAAGGTTCCGAAATTCCATCTGATTCTCACTGGCTGAATGCGTTGCCCTTTAACTATCATGGCCTTGATATTCTAAGAGATACCGAAGTACATTTTGCTTTTGACCTTGGCGGTTTGCATAAAAGCGGAAGTTCCAACCTTATGACGCATTTGAAGGGTCGGCAGGCTTTTCTATGTTCCTATGATAAGACATCGTTCATTGTTTGGTGTTTTAACATGACATTGCGTTAAGAACGCTTGTGAATCAGTTCTACTCCCTCAGTCCAAACGTGAAGTAGCCGCACGGTTACATTCACTTCCACAGGGGATGATCTAAATAAACCATTGAACCTATTCTTTAGTTGAGTCCATCATTTCGACCCCAAAACATACGAGTGTAACGGTGATACTACTGACGGGCGGCATGTAAGTAGTATGTTTTCTCGTAAATCCGTCTCTTGAAAAGTGAGACCTATTATGGAATCTGTGGAGTCGCTCTGTAGCATCTGCTTGTAGTTGAGTAACAGTCAATGAGCGTTCAGGAAAGTTCAGGAAGACGCGTTCAAAGAGAGGATGGATATTCAATTTTGTGAACAAGATGCATATGAAAGTTCTGCTTTCCTGTCCAATAGTCTGTAACTGGTCAGTTGGCATTTTCTAATTAATACCTTCGCAGTGAAGGCGGAGTATTTTGTGTGAAATAAGAGGAAACTATTAAAGAAACACACTCGTCTGCATAGTACTGCATAGTAGGAGGGAGACCCAGCTGAGTCAAGCGTTTATGTTCTTTTCAACTGAATGTTTTGCACTAGCGCTGCACTGTGTTTTGGTTGGATGGATATTTACTCGTCTGCATAGTACTTTGGTATTGAGGAGAGAGACTCAGCTGAGTCAAGCGTTTATGATCTTTTCAACTGAATGATTTCACTAGGGCTGCACTGTGTTTTGGTTGGATGGATATTCCAGAAACTGAAGTATACTTTCTTGATACAATGCCTATTCGTAAAGCCCATCATTTGTAACATAACATTCAGCTGAGTCGCTACTTACAGACAATGTAATTCGCAAATGGGTATAATTCTTCACTCGCTTGCGACTTGATGTCCAATCTTGGTCAGATCTTGGGGACTACACCGACCTAATGAACCGAAAGCAGGGCGGAATAGGTCGCGGAAGAGTTTTCAGAAAACTTTTCAGTAGTATGCTATACTAAGACGGAGCTGCTGTTTCTAAGCCTGATGACTAGCAAGGTGTTCTGAAAGCTACATTCCTATGAGACATCGAAGAGCCAATGTGAAATGTCGTGTGTTTGTTATTTCCCGTATCAACTCTCGGAATTCACAGTTCCCGGAATGGAAATGAGGTGTACTGTGTCTCAAAAAACACCATTTTCATGGGCGGAAAGCACAAAAACGTTTAGTTAAAAGATACATATAATGACAACTTACAACAGTAGACGGTTAGAAAGAACACATAAGTTACCGTGCAAAACTGCTCGCTCCTTCAGCGTCAATAATTAGACTTTTTGTCACAAATAGGCCTGGGACGATTTTTTGCTATTTACATCAGAACGTTCTGATACCCTACAGTTTCCTAGGCGATTTTTCAAACGTCTTTCTACTGGCCTCCAGTTCCGAGTTCTTGAAATTCACTTTATTTATTCTTCAGATGCCTCATCTGGTGCAATAATCGTCTGATTGCAGCGGGTTCATGCATGCCGCATGGATGATCAAGCTGACCAAACTCCCTTCTTTTTACACAGCTATTCTTTGAGTTGCCTACCACATTGAGATCGAGCGCTCTTCTCCAGTTTTAACAATAAACAAACAAGGTCAGAAATCAATAAGACCAAACTGCCGGGTTATCAATAGGTAGGGGTTGGGGGTTACGTTCTTTGAATTGCTTAATTTCGAGAGTAGTTCACTGGAGCGAAGTGAATTGGCTTCTGGCCTTCTCTTAATTCAGTGGTTCTTGCTGCGTGATATCTATTATCCGTAATTGCTGCCATATTTATCTGAAATTAGACTCTATTATGTATTACCTGCACTTCGACAAATACACTCATTTGCAAATCAATTTGGTTTTCACGGGAAACCCAATTGAATCTCTCGTTTATGATGTTCTCCAGCTGAATGTGCTGCACACAGGCCGCCTCATGATTCAATTGACACGATATTCGAGATATCGCAGTATTTTTTCATAAAGGAAACTACTCACAAGGTTGCTGAAAACTCTTTGACAGACAGAACATCGTAAACAAGAGATTCACTTGGGCCTCCCGTGAAAACCTTCCACCCAATAGCCAATAGCCTTTGTTTTCTGTGTAATCGTGGCAGACCTCGATTTTAGATGTTAAAGGTGTTAGGTGGTGCCAAGTGTCACACGGTGGATGTTGAAGTGAGCGAAGAAACGACCGATATGAAAGCAGTGATTGCAGTAGTGCACTACTCATAAGGTCGCTGGAAGCTCCTAAGACAGCCCACGACAGGTTTCACCCTTCTTGTGGCTCATCCGGTAGGCGCAGTTCCCCAGTTTCCGTCAACCTTATGTTCTACTTGAAATCAAATTGCCGGAAATGAGCGAAATACACTCATTTGCAAACGAGTTTGGTTTTGCGAGGGGCTCACCCGGAACCCAGCTGAATCTCTCAGTTTTTATGTCTCCAGGCGACATCAAAGCCGAGAGATTCAGCTGGGTTCGGGGGTCTCTCGCGAAAATCAAATTTGTTTGCAAATAGGTGCATTTCGCTAACTCATTGCGGTAGTTCTCAGTTGGAGCATTCCCATAAAGTCTTTAGTTGTGTGTGAATACCGAGGGATGATTAATTCTTCTAAGTTACCTTTCGAAATTGTCACATCGGTCCACCAACGGGGCACACCCAAAGAAGGTCAACAGCATAATTGTAGCACAAACTTAAATGACGTTCCCAGGATTTTGCTTCCCCCGTCAGATCACTTTTAAGCTGACATTTTACCTGGTTGATATGAAGACTCGGGCACACTGCATCCCTTGCTTAGCACACAGCTGTCTATGAGTGCGTACGGAAAGTGAGGGTCGTATGCAACAATCAGAAGTTAAAGTGTATCATTTCCTATCTCAGAAAATCAACCTCAAGTAGCCATGACTTCACAGAACTGACAAGGAAGTGACATTCTTTAATATATTTAATTTACAACCCAGTATGAGAATCGATTATACACTTTAAGGAATAACTATTAAATTCTAGTTTAATGTTGACTATCCGAACCACCAAGGGAGTCTCAACCAAAGACCATGCTATACAGCTCTTATACAGGTGCGAGTAGTGTGTTTTGTAAATTCGCTTTGCGTCTCTTGAAAAGGGAGATCTGTTGCGGAATTTGTAGTGTCGCTTTGTAGCATTTGCTTGGATTTGAGCAATGAATGACTGGAGTCAATGAATATCCAGGAAAGTTCAGGAAGACGCGTTCAGGAGAAGATGGATGTCCAGCTTTTGTAAATAAGATGCATATGAGAGTTTTGCTTCCCTGTCCAATAGTCTGTAACTGGTCAGTTGGCATTTTCTAGTAAACAGCTCCGCAGCGAAGGCTTTCTTTCCTTCACAGACACTTCTCACTAGAACCGACGGATTCTCCTTCGCCGATGAGTAGGATGTCTTCTAACCATTTTCAGCACCTGGCTTCAAGCAATTTTACTGAGATTCGTCTCATAGTCAGTAGTAGTAGAGCAGTGGATGTAAAAAAAAGCAGAAGTAGGGTACTCATCAGTTTCACGCTTTGGATACGAAGAAATGTCCTATAACTGGATCACAAACCTTCATTCTGTCAAGTCGCACATTTGTGTCATAAACTATGTGGATAGTGCTATCAAAGTTTTTGTTTCACCTATCACCCTTGGAGTATGTCACAAACGCACATGTTCCCTTCACCTGGGAGCACAAAGTGACGTCAAATTAGCGATGCTCCACTGTACATCGTGGTCATATGCAAATC